TCATAAAAGACTGAGTAAAACTACAGAAAATACTAAAGCAGTTAGTAAAACTGGTTTCGTTTTGCTGCCTGTTTTTCTAGTTTAAATGGATAGTGGCTATTTTCCTTCCGTAGCCAACTGCGTTGCCATTGTTTTTCTTATACTGTACTACACAGACTGAACCACAAGATGGAGCTGTTTGTCTCCTGTGGGAGATGTGTTCCATGACAAGGTGGTCAAATCAAAAATAATATTACAAGTTACCAGTGGTGGTGAAAGTACTCATATTTTTTACCTACCCTACTACCTAAAGTAGAAATACTTAATTTTAAAACTGCTCCGTTACAATCCATTTAAACGACAAAAAGAGCTTGACTTTCAAAATCTTACTTACAGTTTTTTTCAGTTGCTAACACAAAAATCTCACATAAAGCATAGCCTAATTATTTTAACAACCTCAGCTCAAATCTCCAAAACTCTAATCACATTTTCAGCTCTGCGCCCAATTTGCAGTTCAACGTGGCACTTTTTGCAAAACACTGCACACGGTTCTCTAAGAAAGACACACAAATCTGAAATGTTCACTTGTTTGCCATTTTCAAAACACTGCCAAAAAGATGCTACACACATGAACCAATCAACAAATACTTGTGCCAAATGAACATAAACACCAAACTGCTTTATTGTTGACTCATCAATCAGGATGCAAGCACTTGAACAAGGCTCCACATAATACCTTTTTACAACAACAATGGATATATGGATAGCAGCAAGAGGAATGAAGAGGTAGAGGAAAGATAAGAGAGAGAGGGAGGATAAGAGAGAGGGAAGAGTTTACAGTTTTTCTCGATTGCTAACACACACAAATTATACATAAAGCACAATTATTTTAACTGACACTCAAAGAGCAAAACATCAGCTCAAATCTCTAAAACTCTAAACACGTTTTCAGCTTTTCACACAATTTGCAAATCAACATGGCACTTTTTGCAAACCACTGCATACGTTTCTCCACGTAAGACACAGGAATCTGACATAAAGTCACGTGTTAGTTGGTTTAAAACACTGATATTCAAAATGCCTCACACATGGACCAATAATCAAGAAACACGTTCCACCTGACCAAGCACCTGATTGCATAATTGTTGGCTCATCAATCAGGATGTTAGCACTATAAAAAGACCACAGGTGAGTACTTTCTTAGCAACAATGGAAGCCAACATGGAAGCAAGAGGAAGAGGAAGAGGAAGAGCTGGGCTGAGCTGAGAGTGAGAGGAGGAGGAAGAGGTGGGGTGAGAGTGAGAAGAGGAAGAATGAGAGGTAGAGGTAGAGCTGGAGGACGTGGACAAAGAAGAATTCACTAGTAGGAACCACGCCAAAACAGTGTGATGTTTGTAAGTTTATTGAAGTAACATGTGAATGATATGAGGGGGGTGAAGGGATGTGGTCCGTGCAGTGGGAGACTCAGAGTGGGGGTTCCGTCTCCGGCATGATCTGCGTGGGCTGATTACGGGCCCCCAGACGATACCTGTCTCGATAAAATGTTAGTATACACAGTTTAAAGGGGACCTATCATGCAAAATGCACTCTTGTACGTCTTTTATACATGAATATGTGTCCCCGGTGTGTCAGGGAACTCACCAAGTGTCAGAAAATACAACCCTCTCTCTTTTCCTCTATACCCAAATCTCTAAAAACGGGGCTGCAACGGATCTGATACAGACTGATCCAGATTTGAATTATTTTCTACGTCACAAAAGTGGTGCTCCGCTTAGTGGTCAATTCTCCACCTATCAGGGGAATGAGAGGTTGGGCCACGGCCGGCCATTGCCGCTCGAAAGCGCTGGAGACGCTGTAGTACATATGCCAGGCCTGTAAGTGGCGCTGTAGTCTGCCACAAAAGCAGCGAAGAAGACGTCCCTTGCATGGTTGCCATGGTTGCCCTTCTGTTTATTCTCCGCTGTGGCTCTTTTTCTCCCTCCCCGAGGCAAGCGTTTGCGCCTCCTGCTGCTGTAATTCAATGCAATCCCTCCCCGTCGAGGCAAGCACTGTAATTCTCTCCGGTAGTCCACCAGCAGATGACAAACACCCACCTCTCCGCCTCTTCCAAGGAACGAGGGGACCGTGCGACAGAGTTTCAGTTAGATTTTTTTTCGCCGGTCAACATGTCCGTTAAAGTTGAAATCTTCCGGACAAAATTAGAAAAGTGCTGGTCAAAGGTCTTCTTTGTTATTTATTGAGCTTTAAAACAAATGAATAATGACTCTATATAATCATATATAAGAATAAAACACGGAGGACGGAGATCTCTTTTTCTCCTCCTCTTCTGACAGCCCAGCAGCTGATCTCAAAGCACGCTCCCCTCTCCTGCAGGGGGGCGTGGTCAGCTGCAGCTCACAGAATCAGCCCCCTGCAAAAACAGGGCTGGAAAGAGCAAATAGAGCGAAATGAGGCATGGCTAAAATGCAGGATCTGTTTGGTATTTTGAAAAAAAAACTATATTTATATTAGGGCTATCAAGTTAACGCAAAAAAAATTAACGCCACTAATTATTTTAACGCGATTAACGCATGTGTATTTTTTGTCCTCGGCCGCCCCGTAGTTTCAGAGCGCATCGAGTTTAAAATACCATCTACAAGCTGATGCTGACAGCCCCGCTCCTGCCGCCCGCTTGTGGCAGACCACACTTCCACGCTCACCGGCAGGCCCGGACTGGCCATCGGGAGGACCGGGAGGGTGTGTGTATGTGTGGCGCGAGCGAGGCACACCTTACGTGTTGTTGTTGTTGTTAGCATCTGGTGCTAGCTAGCTGCGCTAACGGATATAAGGAGCTGTTTCAATGAAAACAGAGGAGTGACATTTCGCCGACAACTGCGCCGAGCACTTGACTTTATGCAGGTAGCCAGACAGTGGGACATTGTACGAAAAGTCAGCACACTCAGCACGGATAGTGCGCGCAACATGATTGCAGCGTCCAGGCAGCTCCCGTTCGAGCATATATGCCTTGAGCTGCACATAGCTCCAACGATCTATCACAGTGTCTCCACACACACACACACACACACACACACACACACACACACACACACACACACACACACACACACACACACCACACACACACACACACACACACACACACACACACACACACACACACACACACACACACACACACACACACACACTTTGTATTGTATGAGAGAGGTTCCAGGTTGAATTGAGGCGGATATTTGTAATGTTCAGAGGTTGTTGTGTTTAATATTCATGAGAATATTTGTCATTGTTCAAATGATAATAAACAAACATATAAAGCATATTTGTCCACTCATATGTTGATAAGAGTATTAAAAACTTGAAAAATATCCCTCTAAGGTACATTTAGAACAAATAAAAAATGTGCGATTAATCCTGCGATTAATCGTGATTAAATATTTTAATCGACTGACAGCCCTAATTTATATACTTTATATAGGTATGGCCCTACAATATATTGTTCAGATATAGCATGATATGTCCCCTTTAAATATAAATGGTGACGGGCAGAGGATGTTGGGATGAAGGGTTGAGGGATGTAGGGATGTAGGGATGGAGGGATGTAGGGATGTAGGGATGAGGGATGAAGGGATGTAGGGATGTTGAGGGGAGGGAGGGAAGAAGGGATGGATGGATTTATCGCTCGGTGTGAGCCGGAAGGGGAACTGTATGGGTAGAAGGGAGAGGGAGGGTGGGTTGAAAGGATGGAGACAAGCAGTGGAAGTTTTGCCGGATATAAATAGGGGTGGCCGTGGTTCGAGGCGGAGTTTTAGGCGTGGCCATGCTCCTGAACCTATGTTAACAATTTAACCTCATTTCACTAGCAGGAACCATGCCAAAACAGTGTGATCTTTGTAAGTTTATTGAAGTAACATGTGAATGATATGAGAGGGGTGAAGGGATGTTCTGGGAGGACGAGCTGTGGTCCGTGCAGTGGGAGACTCAGAGTGGGGGTTCCGTCTCCGGCATGATCTGCGTGGGCTGATTACGGGCCCCCAAAAGAGTCGGATTAAATGGAACTGAGTTGAGCGTGTGCCTGTCTGAGATCATTGAGATTGTTACGGATGTAGTGTGGTAAGCTTGGGATGACCAGCGGCCCAGGACCTGGATGGTTTGGTCAGAGATGCCCAGTCTTGCTGCTGTGGACGCTGCGCCAATGCGGAAGGAATGGCTCGAATAGTGTTCTGAGCGTATCCCCGAAATAAGCAAGACATTGTGGAAGTGTTTCTGGAACCAGAAACCTGTGGCCATTTTCCCTGTTTCGGTGAGAAAGAGTGGGTGTTGAGGCGTTGCGTGTGCAGCGTACCTTGCGCTGAGGTATTTGGTTAGTGGCTCGTATGGGCTGAGATACGAGTTCAGGCGGAAGATGTGGATGGGGAAAGAAATTCCCAGCTGATCTGTTTTACTCCTTCGGAGTGTGAATATGAGAGAGTCGTTTGTGTGGAGGGATATGTCGGATAGGCTGGGGTGGTGGTGAGGGTTGTAGGCGGATGAAGTGGGTGCGAATTCGGAGCATCGCAGGAAGCCGAAGAATGCTAGCAGGAACATGCATTCTAGGGTAAGGTCGACCATTGGTGATAAGTATCCTGATCGTAGGGAACGGATGCAGAGGCTGAGAAGGTTGGAAGTGAGTGGCAGTCGTTTGGCTGTGAGGAAGGGTTCCTGCTTACGTAAGCCTTTGATAAGCATTGTGACGTGGCTATGGGACGTGGAAGGAAATGGTTGGCCGCTGGCTATTTTAATGAAGAAGTTATTTCCGGCCAAGTATGTCTGAATGGTAGATGTCCGGCACTTACGGATCGAATGAGTGTGAGTAATGAAATTGCAGACGGATATGACGTCCAGAGTGGGGAATGGTAGCTGGTATGCGCCGTGATATGCCTTAAAGCAATTCCAGCCGGTGAGATAGGCTGACAAGGTGCTTGGGGCAAGGCTGTTGAGGATGGCTTCCCGTGAAGCGTGTGAGAGTAGTTCCAGTTGTGGGTTTAGTTGAATGTGGTGGCTGAAAACGGTGGGACTGGTATGGGATGGAGATCTGCCTCTGGGGCCAAGTTTCTGAAATTGGAAACGAGACAAAGAGTCAGCGATGCCGTTCTCATGACCTGGGATGTGTGCTGCTTTGAGGATGAACTGGTGTTGGGCAGAGATTAAGGTGAGTCTGCGGAGGAACTGCATGATGGCTAGGGAGCGAGATCGGCCTTTGTTAAGGATCTCTACGACTGCGCTGTTATCGGTGTGGATGAGTATGGCTTTCCTAGACCATTCGTGCCCCCAATGAATGGCAGCTATGATGATATGATACAGTTTGTGAAGTGCGGATGAAGGAGAAAGCGTCTGTGAATTGAGAGCTGTGAACTCTGGGGGCCAGGTGGATGAGAACCATCTCCCTGCATAGTAGCCGCCGAAGCCTATGGAGGGGGCTGCATCAGTGAAGAGTTGGATATCCTCGGGTTTGGTAATGAAGTCATCATAAAAGAAAGAGATGCCATTCCACGAGGACAATAAATCCTGCCAAAGGTGCATTTTCATTTTGCATGCGTCGTCCAGAACTAGTCGATCGTGGATGGAGGGAACTGACGCCGCTCTGTTCAGCAGGTTGGACGAGAAGGGTTTTGCTTGAGGTATTATGCGGATGGCATAATTTAGGTGGCCGAGGAGGGCTAACAGCTGCCGTTTCGTGCATCTGTTTGCCTGTAAGTAGTTTGACAAGAGGAGAGTGATGCGCTGTACTTTCTCTGAGGGTAGAGAATCTTGGAAAGACATTGAGTCCAGGGTGATGCCTAGAAACTCAATGGAGGTTTTAGGCCCTGAGGTTTTCTCTTCAGACAGAGGGATGCCAAGGTCTGAAAATGTTTGTATGAGTGTGCTCAGCCCGTGGCAGGGGGGTGAGGATGGTGGAGTGACGATGAGAAAGTTGTCAAGAAGATGGAGCACATAGGGGAGTCTGTGGTTGTTTGTCAAAATCCAGCTCAGAGCTTCTGAAAGGGAATCAAAGATTTTGGGACTGCTTCTGCAGCCGAATGTGAGGCGTACTGAGAAGTAATAGGCTCCCTTCCAGTACACTCCGAAGAAACGCCAGAAGTCTGGGTGAATAGGCAAGATCTTGAATGCACTGGTAATGTCTGCCTTAGAGAGCCATGCTCCGCGGCCTGCTGAGCGGATGAGGGTGATGGCGTGGTCGATGTTTGCGTATTGCATCGAAAAGTCTGGGCTTGGAATGACGCTGTTAATGCTCGGGATGGCTGAGCCGTGTGGAGAAGACAGGTCTATTATGAGCCTCTTTTTCCCGGAGTATTTCCGAGTAGCTATGCCTATTGGACTGATGCGGAACACTAGAAAGGGGGGACTATCGAATGGGCCTATCATGAATCCTTCTTTGACTTCTTTGGCCAGTAAGGTGTCGACAGTGTGAGGTTCTGTTAAAGCGGACTGAAGGTTGTGGCAGATGTGAGATGTGTCAGGCAGTATTGCTATGCCTGGGTGGAAACCATGGGAGAAGCCATTGGTGAGAAAGTAAACAAACTGTCTATCTGGATGATTTACTAAGGCGGTAGCTAAGTTGCTTACCTTGACGGGTGTGCTGAGGTGCCGTGCTAGTCAATCTGCTGGTGTAGTTGGGTTGTGAGGGCAGGTGCTCCTGGCATGAGCGCTGCCGCAGAAAGAGCAGATGTGCATGAGGCGGCAGCTAGAAAGAGAGCATATTGTTACATACCATCCTGCTTCCCTGGTAGAGGATTGGCCTTCCGCGTCTGTCGACGCCCTTTGAAACGGGGGCGTTGGCTGATGAACGTTTGTTTGCGGGCCTAGGGATGATGGGAGGTGGGGGTGCGGCAGGTGATAGGCGGTTGAAGGTTGAGGCGTTGCCTCTTGATGGAAAGGGGAGTGAGCGGGGTGGCTCGGGTGGTGGGGCGCTGACTGAGCATGCTGAGGCCGGGTGGGAGGGGGCTCCGCATAATTGGCAAGAGAGGGATGCGCGTGCTGTAAAGATGCGGCAGTAAAGCTCGGAGTCCAGAGCGCCCCAGTATGTTCCCTGGTTGAACTGCTTGATGCGGCCGGCGGCTTGGCTAGCGAAGTGGACGTGGTAGGTGTAAAAACCTGCGCCTCCGAAGCGTAAGGCCATGTCGAGCTCTATGAGGAGGTACTCGTCTAAATCAGTTCTGCGTGTGGGATAGACTGAGCAGATGACGTCGCGGTAAAGGGAAAAAGCTAGGGCGAACTCTGCGGGGGTTAAGTCCTTAGACCTCAGAGGTGATGGATTTCGCAGCTGGACTAAACCAAAGTTGGTCTGCATTTCCCTGGGCTGGCTAGTGTCGATGATTTATGGCTGTAGTAGCTGAGCTAAGTCTACATAGTTACCTAGATCCGACTGCTGAACCGCGGATGGCGGGTAGCCGATTTCTAAGAGGTCTTCATCTGACTCTGGCGAGTTGATCAGCAGTTCGGGATCCATGGTGAGTTGAATGTTCTCGTGGTAGCGTTTAGCTTGTTTAAACTGTGACGACGCGCGGCGTAAATCATGGTCTGCCTGTCAGTCTTTGAAAGGATGGAGACAAGCAGTGGCCGGAAGTTTTGCCGGATATAAATAGGGGTGGCCGTGGTTCGAGGCAGAGTTTTAGGTGTGGCCATGCTCCTGAACCTATGTTAACAATTTAACCTCATTACTCTCAAATGAAATCCGGGCCACTTTGGTTGACCATGTTATCAACCATGGTTTGACGATGAGAGAGGCTGGACAGAGGGTTCAGCCTAATCTAAGCCGATTTACTGTTGCCTCTGTAATCCGGACACTTCTAATTTCTCTAATTCCCCTCCTCGACTCCTATCCTCGACTCCTATCCTCGTGTCTTAGTCCCGCCCACAGGAGATGCGAGCGGAGGAGTCGAGGAGGGGAACCGAGGAGAGAGGAGGGGAAGCAGCAGGCGTTTAGAGAAAGGAGAAATCCTCTCCTCTGAGCGGTCATTTTAAAGAGACGTCCATTAATGATGACAGGAGGCACAGCGTCGTGTCACGTGACTTGAATTTTGAATTTTTTTTGAACGGCTCTTCATTTTACCACAGTTTACCACAGAGCCTCAGTTTCGCCGCTGCGAGGCTCCGGCGCTCGCAGTTCACGCGCGTGCTCCACTAGCACCACCCGTCAAGGCTCGCCGGCAGTACACTTTCCGTCACAGGAACACGCTTTGCTGGCGGCGAAAATAATCCCACCAGACTCCTTTGCCCTTCAAACAGAGGGAGTCCTTGTCCTTTTTCCTTTTTGTTATTTCAAGCTATAAAAACTCTCGATCTTCTCTCGAATTATTAATTTTTTTGGACGCCCTCGATTCGAGTTCAGGGCGTTCCGAGCTGAATAAGGGCGTCAAATGACGGCAAGACGCCCCCCTGGCGGAAACGCTGAGTGAGGGTAGGAACGAAAATGGCCCGGTAGACAAGAGAGCTTTGTCTTCTGGCTCAGCTCTCTTTTCGTCACAACGGTGCAGTACCGCTCCCGCTGCTCAGATTCTCCGGCCCATCTCACGCTCCATTGCTCCCTCACTCAAGAACAAGACCCCGAGATACTTGAACTCCTTCACTTGGGGTAAGGACTCATTCCCTATTTGGAGTGGACAGTCCATCGGTTTCCTGCTGAGAACCATGGCCTCAGATTTGGAGGTGCTGATCCTCATCCCAGCTGCTTCACACTCGGTTGCGAACCGATCCAGGGAGTGCTGAAGGTCGCATACCGATGAAGCCATTAGAACCACATCATCTGCAAAAAGCAGTGGTGCAATCCTTAGTCCACCAAACTGCAGACCCCCTCCCCCACGACTACGCCTTGAAATCCCACCCATGAATATTACAAACAGGATTGATGACAAAGCGCAGCCCTGGCGGAGGCCAACCCTCACCGGAAATGGGTCCGACTTACAGCTGAGGACCCGGACACAGCTCTCGCTTTGGGAGTACAGAGATTGGATGGCCCTGAGTAGAGACCCCCTCACCACATACTCCTGCAGCACATATTTATATAAATATATACAATTTCAGAATCAAACAAGTATGAGAGCACTCTCATAATAACGTAACACTATCAGACCCCCCCTCTCTGGTCGCTACAATGGTGAACTGAAATTACGGGCCAAAAGTTTTATTTACAAGTATTAAAAGAAAGCATAGGACACCAAACATTACATTACATTATATGTTACTTGTTAGACGCTTTGATCCAAAGCGACTTACATACTCAACACTGTGGACAATCCCCACAGGAGCAATTTGGGGTGAAGTGTCTTGCCCAGGGAAACAACGACATGCTGACTGCAGTGGGGTTTGAACCTGTATCGATTCTTTGTTTGTAGATATATAAATTAAACTAAAGCATACCAATAAAGAGAGTAATGTAGGCCTGTTATACTGAGTGATATATATTATACACACTGCTCTGCTTTCTGCACGGACCTCAGCAGCTGTTCTCACTGTAAACATCGCGTCGTGATTAAAGCAGTTTATCCAGGGGATGCATGCAGAGTTGTCATTGGCTGAGATAAGTCCGGCCGTGCGCCACGACTCTTTTAAACATCACTGTTGCCGGAAATACATCCGCGGAAGCTTCATCAGTGTATCCTCGGTTATAGCTCCTCCAGAGAGCCTCCTCGATGCTCGATCCTCGGTCCTCGATGTGCATTTAGAGAAATGAGATGTCCTTCAACATGGCGCGCTGAAATCCATTTCAGGTTCACTACCGGAGGACCGAGGAGGGGAAATGAGAGAAATGAGAAACCTATGAAAACAAGACTTGAAAACAGGTTAGTTACCAGTGTTTAGCTCCGCATAATTCATGATATATCAGTGCTTACATCTGTTGTGTGAAACGTATTTACTTCATTACTGTAATTGAATTGTTGCATACTATGACGCTGGGTTATGTATTGTAACCCTTGTTATATTAACACAGGCGGAGCCCTCTACAACTGGACTATATGGGTACTACTCTCTATGCAAGCATTCACCTACTGAGATTTCTATAGACGTAGCCGGCCCCGGGGCAGGCCTACCTGAATGCGCGTGCATCTCACCGTATAAAAGGAGGCCTCGCCTCCTGACTATCATCCTACACCTCTCTTCAGCGAGCGATATAGGACAGACAGTGCCCTGAGTAGAAGGCTCCGCCTGTGTTAATATAACAAGGGTTACAATACGTAACCCAGCGTTATATCTCTCACAGGCTCCGCCCTCTACTGGACTCTATGGGTACAGTGGGTGGAGCCCTGATGTATACGTGCACTGTCGTCCAACAACATCATTCCACCCTACTGCCCCTGACCGGCTTTTCTGGTCAGCAGCTGCTGCCCCACACTCCCCCTTAACCCGGTTGTGACCGTGGAGAAGTCTGGGCTGCAGCTGACAGACCACACTCTGCTGCGCTTACCTCGCAGAAAGTGTGCTCACAAAACAGTGCTGGCCCCCCCCCCCCCTCCGCCCATAGGCAGATGGGGAGAATCCCCAGCCCTGTATGGGCTCACTGTGCACCCACCTCCCTGAGTCCCTAAGGATCACAGGGAGAGCGCCAGTGCCCATGCCCCACACTCAAACACTGACCCCGTGCAGAGCATGTCTGGACTAAAGTGTGGAGGGCTACCCCCCTCCTGCCGAGTAGCCCCCCAGCCCTGTAAGGGCCCAGCGCGCACCTCGCCCATCCCGGGACCCCTCAAAGGGCGCATTACGTCCGGGGAGGGGGTCAGATGCCAACTGACCCACAGCCCCCCCCTTCCTCACCAGTCCTGTGTTGCCCCAGCAAGCACAGACGAGGAGAAAGAGCCAGACATGTCCAAGAGATAAAACCTTATGAAGGGGCCTGGCGTCGACCAAGACGCCGCTGTGCATATATCCTCCACACTCACACCGTTGAATAAGGCTGTTGACACAGCCACAGCCCGTGTGGAGTGCGCACGAATCCCCGTAGGGCAGGCCCTCCACGCCTGTCCGTAGGCATGTGCAATGCACTCTCAGAGCCAGCCTGCCAGGCGTTTCTTGGACAGAGCTTTCCCGATCACACCGCCCCCGAAGCACACGAACAGCTGTTTGGTGCGTCTAAGGGCAGCCGTGGGCTCCACATAACATGCTAGCGCACGCACCGGGCAGAGGAGGTGCAGTTTAGCTTCCCTGGCCCCACCCTGGGGGGGAAGACTAAAACCCCCTAACTGAATAGCCCTCGACCTGAACGCACTCCTTAGGCTCTTGGGCACAAAGGAGGGGTTCGGTCTGAGTGTTGCGCCGCTCCGGTCACCCCGAATCAGTAAACAGCTCGGGTGCACCGACAGAGCGGTTAACTCGGACACTCCTTTGGCTGACGTTAAGTCTTCCACGACAGTGCTCTTAGGGAGGAAAGCTCCAGAGGCTCAAATGGTTCTAAGACCAGAGCCTCGAGCACTAGCTTGCCAAGGCCGCCAACATTAGCCCCTCTCTTGATGGTCAGCTCATTTCTCTCTCCTCCGTTGTCACCAACCTCGGTGTAAGGTTTGACCCCACTCTGTCTTTCCAAGCCCACATCAAACATATCACCAAGACCTCCTTCTTTCACCTGAAAAACATTTCCCGACTGAAGCCCTCACTCTCAACTGATGACACCAACAAACTGGTTCATGCACTCGTCTTCTCAAGACTAGATTATTGCAATGCACTCCTCTCCGGTCTCCCAGCCAAATCCATCAACCGCCTGCAACTTGTCCAGAACAGTACAGCTAGAGTTCTCACCGGTACAAAAAGGTCCGCACACATAACCCCCATACTTGCACAACTACACTGGCTCCCAGTCCACTACAGGATCCAGTTTAAGGTTCTGCTCCTCACTTACAAAGCCCTGAATGGACAAAGCCCAAAATACCTCTGTGACCTCATCCATACCCAGACATATACCCGCTCTCTACGCTCCAGCCACGCTCCTCTTCTTTACATCCCCCGCACACGTCTCCGAACAATGGGAGACCGAGCCTTCTGCTCATTCGCCCCGCGCCTCTGGAACTCCCTCCCAGATCAGCTGAGATCTGCCCCTTCCACCGAGGTCTTCAAAACCGGCCTTAAGACCCTCTTCTTTCGGCAGGCCTTCCAATAAACTTTGAGCATGGTACACCTGGAGTATTGCCATTTTTATCGCTATCTCCGACTTATATTTAATTTATTTATTTGTATTTAATTTTATATTTAATTTTTAATTTTTATTTAATTTTGTTTTAATTTTAAATTTTTATTATTATTATTTGTTTAATCTCTCAAATTGTATCAGTGTCCTTTGCTGTGAAGCGCTTCGAGATTTGTCTTGGCAGATGAGAAGCGCTATATAAATTAAATGTATTATAGGGGCAGGTCCCACTGCGGGGTGGAGGCGTGCACTACTGGGCGCAGCCTCCTGACCCCCTGCAAAAACCGCGACATCAGTGGTTGACTAAAGGCTGACCTGCCGCCAAATCCCTCATG